CATTAGAGTCATTACCCGCTGAAGAAGACACTTTTTTTGGGAAGTAAATGTCTGTTATTTTGTTTTTTATTAAATTTTTTTTTTTTTGTGATCAACTTTTTAGAAAAGAAAAAAAAATATATATTAGTGTATATATATATATATATATATATATATATATAATGCTATACACAGTAAAAACATTCCAAAACATTATTGTATTCAAAAACAAATATTTTACATGTAATTTATTATTTTGTTTTTGTTTTTTAAACTTAAATTAAACAGTATGAAACAGAAAAATTATGATACGGATTTGAGAGTTATATATATATTTGACATAAAATTCTATACAAAGTAAAAACAAAAAGTAAAAATTCAAAACATTGTATTCAAACACATAAATGTAGTACAGTAACTCTTTTTTTATTTAAAAAGTAAAACATTTATGAAACAGAAAAAATCATGAAACTGACAAAATATAAAAATATCAGCCACAGCACAATGCACATAAAATGTGACAACTTGCCCCAACCTGACATTTATGAAAAGCACAACCTGTTAGTTTAAATCTGCCTTTGTTTTATAGTGGGTTTGTGTTAATGTATGTGTAGTTTTATTGGGTTTAATTTGTAAAACTAACCACAGTATATAAATAAACCAGCACAGAAATGTGACCCTGAAGCACAAAACCAGTCATAAGGGTAAATGTTTTTAAATTGAGATGTATACATCATCTGAAAGCTGAATAAATAAGCTTTCCATTGATCCAAACATTGACAATATTTGGCTGAGATACAACTATTTGAAAATCTGGAATCTGAGGGTGCAAAAAAATCTAAATATTGAGAAAATCATCTTTAAAGTTGTCCAAATGAAGTTCTTAGCAATGCATATTACTAATCAAACATTAAGTTTTGATATATTTACGGTAGGAGATTTACAAAATATCTTCATGGAACATGATCTTTACTTAATATCCTAATGATTTTTGGCATAAAAGAGAAATGTATAATTGTGACCCATACAATGTATTGTTGGCTATTGCTATAAATATCCCCCAGCGACTCAACACTGCTTCTGTGCTGCAGGGTCACATATGACGTGTGGAGTTTGTGCAGATGATAATGCGTGTGAAACTTGTGCGACGTCAGATGTTGTTTGAGTCGGTCAGAGATCAAACCCGTTACGAGCTTCACACACACTGATGAACGAGGTCTGACTCAACACGTCTGTGTGAATAAAACACAAACACAGCCCTTCATTCATTCTCGGGTTTCAGAGAAGCCATTAAAATGTCATTATCTCATTTCATAATTGTCTGTTCAGTCATTAATTCAATTAAAGGTAATTTCGATCATTTTTCTGCTGTCAGTGTGTCTGTATGCTTTTATGAGACCAAAGCAGGGCTATTATAGTGAGCTAAAAAACATTTTTGTTACTTGAAATAAAATAAACAAAATAAAATATAAAAACATAAACTTGTTTAATTTCTTTTTTCATTTAGTTTAACTTGAAGTACTGAAATAACTGAATAAATCAACTAAATGTAAAAAATAAAAATGAATAAAAACTAAAATGGGTCATAAACATGTTTTACATATAAAAAAATTATTGCATAAATTAATCATATACCTACTATAAGCTTATTTCCACCATGGAATAGAAAAATAAAAATCACAATTGCAACTTTTTAACCCTCCCTCTCTCTAATAGAAGTAAAAAATATGAAATATTAATATTATGTAATATTAGGTAAGGAAACAAAAATAGATGGTTTTGTGTCACACTCATTCCTTATTTTTGAATAATAAATGCATGAGATTTAAAAAAATTGCCAACTCAGTGCATTCATTACACATTCATAGGGGGTGGCGGGGGGGGGGGGGGTCCCCCCCCCCCCCCCCCCCAGGGTAAACAGAACAGAACTAACATAAATGTATTGCTGATATTGTTAAAGTTCAATCATTTTATGTACACATTTTAGAATTAGTCTGATTCAAGGAGAATCAGAAGGCTGAATCCCGACTGACAGAGGAGGAGTTGGGGATGGAGGAGGGTCATTAGCTATTGAGCAATGCGAAAACTGCTGATAATACTGAGGGACCTTATATATGAATGCTTAGGTAGGTGTCGTATTCCCATAGGTAGATGGGGATCAGCTGAAAGTCAGCTGATGCGAGCTTGACTAACATGAGGGGGCAGTGTCTCCCCGCCACCCCCTATGAATGTGTAATGAATGCACTGAGTTGGTAATTTTTTAAAATCTCATGCATTATTTATTAGGAGATGTACTGGTATAGAGGGCGAAATATCAGTGATGCAGCTGACTTAAAGGCACCGGCGGAGGTGCGACAGGCCAAAAGGCCAAAGCAGGAACAACATCTCACCTGTATAATGATCTGAACTCTCTGGGTAACCAGTGACTCCTGCAAAAGGACAGGTGACAGCTAGGAAAGTCTGGCGGACAGCTGGGAAAGACCAGTTGACAACGGGAAAGACAGCGTCAGGAGTGGGCGGCTAGTCACCTTACCCACTAGAGACTCGGAAGTTCCAAGATTCACCCTTTGTGACTACGAAGCAACATAAGAGAAAACAGCCCGAGGGCCCTCCGAGAGATGGGATGGAAGATGGGCCCAGTAGGACGGATCAAGAGGTAATGACAGGAACAAATAACGATAACGAGAAAAGACTCCGGAAGTGTAGTTGTGGATGGGAGAAGGTGACATCATGCAGGGGCATACATATTCATCAGGGGAAGATGAAGTGTAGAAGGCAGACAGACCAGCGACCTTGCTCTGCGCAAGCAGGTCAGACAATAGGGACCCAAAGCCAGGATTGCAACCACAGTGCCGCAGGACCCAGTGGTGCAGAGACGTCTGAAGAAGTTGAAGGAAACCCCATGATTGAGAAGGCACCCAGTGAAAACAAGAATATCAGCCCACCAGAAGTACATCCCACAAAGCCAGTGATGAAGCAGTTGGCGCAACAAGATCAAGTGGCCTAAGGCAAATGATCAGGTTGCTTGGCAGAATCTTGACTCTGACCTGAGTCAACTGTTAGAGCTGGTGTTGCGAGGCAGTGTCGACAACAAGCTTATCAGCCTTGGGGAAATTATCTTTAAAGAATGTAAGGGGAGGTTTGGCGAGGTCAGTAGGAAGGAGCCCACAGCCCCAAGGAAAGGAAGGAGAGAAAGGGAGATTGAGCAGCTAGTCAGAGCCCGGCACCGGAATTGGAGGTAAGCGACACCCAAGGTAAAAGTTGGCCTGAAGGAGCTGTGGGATGAACTCAAACAAAGCCTTGCCAAGCTGCGAAGAGTGGAGAGGATCAGTAGGAGGAGGAGGAAACGAGAGAAGGAAAAAAACAGCTTCTTCAGAGATCCTTATAGGTTTGCCAGAGAGTTGCTAGATGAGAAGAGGAGCAGGAAGTTGGATTTCAGCAAGGAGGAGCTGGAGGAACACATCAAGAACCAGTATAGTGACAACAGATGAGATATACTGCTTGGCTCCCCAGGGTATGTACCACAGCCAGCTCTACCGACAGTGCCATTTGATACATCCCCACATAAGTTACAAGAGGTGGAGGAGGTTATCAAGAAGGCTTCCCTATAAGCTGTACAAGAACTGCCCCCAGGTGGATAAAGTAGTGTAGAAGCTCATGAAAACAGCTTGGAAGAAAGAGCAAATCCCAGCAGAGTGGCAACAAGCTGTTGGTGTGTTCATTCCCAAAGAGCAGAACTCCCATACTGTCAACCAGTTCAGAAACATTGCCTTGTTGAACGTGGAGGGGAAGATTTTCTTCTCTATTCTGGCAAGGAGAATGAGCAACTTTATCATGAGGAACGGATACACTGACACAAGCTGCCAGAAGGCTGGAATCTCAGGCTTCCCTGGATGCATCGAGCACTCATCTGTGATTTGGGATCAAATTCAGCGTGCAAAAAGAGAGAAGAGTGACCTGCATGTGGTGTGGCTAGATCTTGCCAATGCATACAGCTCAGTGCTGCACAAGCTGATAGAATTTGCCATGGAATTCTTTAATGTCCCAGGTTGTGTGCAGAACATTATTACTAGATACTTCAGCAACCTGCACATGTGCTTTACTCTGGAAGGATACACGACAGGATGACAATGGCTGGAATGCGGGATTGCCATGGGGTGTGCCAGCTCCCCCATTCTATTTGTTTTAGCCTTTGAGGAAATCCTCAGATGGGCCAGGCAAGTAGTCAGGGGCACCAAGCTACCATCAGGCGAGAGGCTTCCACCATTGAGGAGCTACATGGATGATGTAACAAGCATCTTTCAGACGGCTGCATGCACGACCAGGCTCCTCAAGCGCTTTGACGAGCTGCTTAAATGGGCAAGAATGAAGAGCAAGGCTGAAAAATCAAGAAGTCTCTCGATAAGGAAAGGTGTGCCGCATGCCAGGACCATCTTCGTCGTTGGAGGGGAGCCCATTCCCCTCCATTTAAAATTTAAATAAAATCGAATTTAACATTTTAATGGAAACTATAACAGAATATCAATGATAGTAAACTAACACTAGTTTTAATACATTTGATAAGACTTTGATACACGTTTGTTGATTGATTGATTGACTGATTGCTTGATTGCTTGATTGATTGATTGATTGATTGATTGATTGATTGATTGACTGATTGATTGGTGTGTGTTCTGTGTCTCAGGTGGACGGCTTCTTCACGCTGGTCTTCGGTCTGGGCAGCATCAACACTCTGACCGTCATCAGCATCAGCAGATACATCAAGGGCTGTCACCCCAATAAAGGCAGGAGCGCGTGCGTCCCTCACAGCCTGAGCTCGTCTGAGTCGATCCGCTCTAATCTGAGTGTGTGTGTGTGTGTGTGTGTGTGTGTGTGTGTGTGTTCACAGCTCACTGCATCACCAGCGCCACCGTGCTCATGTGTGTCATCTTCATCTGGACAGGAGCCCTGTTCTGGTCCGGAGCCCCGATCCTGGGCTGGGGAAGCTACACGGGTCAGTCTGTGAAAGGGTTAACTGTGAGACGCCGTCTTCTCAAATCCACTTCTCTGTTATATTTCTGTCAGAAAGATAGAAGACCACTTGAGAGTGCTTCAGTGATTAAACCCAACAAATGCTTTCTGATGATTTACTGAAGCTGCAGAAATTCATAAAGTGACAAAATACAAGCAATTATTTTTATTATTAATTCCAACTTAGTTATTTGAAGATTATAAATATAACAATATTAAAAAACTTACATAATTATATTATTTATAAATTATATATATATTACAGTATTGTATATTAAAATGTATTACATAATTAATTACATAAATATTTTACAAAATAATATAGTTTAAATATAAATAATACTCGTAATATAACAATATATAATATGTAAGTGTAACATATCAGTAATTATATTAAATACGAATACAATTAAGTTAACAAGTTAACTATATTTTCGCCAAGTGTGAACAATCCTCTTACCGAAGCAGCATAAATTCATAAAGTGACAAAATATGTGCAATTATTTTATTATTAATTCTAATTTATTTATTTTATTGATGATTATAAGTGTAATACTATGATAAAAATAAAAAAAAATCATAAAGTACAACATACCTACATTTTTTTTATTATTAATTATAAATTACTTATTTAAAGATTATAAATTAAAAATGATAAAAAGTCATCATTTATAATTAAAATATATATTATATATTACTAATATAACAATATATTGTATAAAATATTAAATTATATAATTATTTATAAAATAATATAACAAATATAAATAATACAATGGATTCAATTAAGTTAAAATATATATATTTTTATAATTATATATATATATACTGTATATATATATATATATATATAATTATTTTATAAAATAATATAATTTAAATAGAAATAATACAATGGATATAATTGTTATAATTTAATATATATATATATATACACATACAATTACATTACATAATTCAACTATATAACCATTCATGATTTTCAAATATTATTATTATTGGTAACTACAATAACATTCTGTGTGATGTGTTTTGTTCTGGTGAAGCTACAGAGCTCATTAGAAGCTCGTTTGGATCGTGTGAGATGGTTAATTGTGAAGCATCTTCTCAGTTGTGTTCTTGTGTTGTGTTCTGGTCAGATCGTGGATACGGCACCTGTGAGATCGACTGGGTCAAAGCCAACTACTCCACCATCCACAAGTCCTACATCATCTCCATCCTCATCTTCTGCTTCTTCATCCCCGTGCTGATCATGCTGTTCTCGTACGTCTCCATCATCAACACGGTGAAGCGAGGTAACGCCCTGTCAGCGGAGGGAGACCTGACCGACCGACAGCGCAAGATCGAGAGAGACGTCACCGTCGTGAGTCTCAGTGCACTGCTGGAAAACTATACGATACACACTCAGTCAGAAGATCACACGCTCTCACGCTGTATTTCAGAGTAATAATAAAATAATGCTATTTTTTAAAGTTCTCATTTTAATCTATCTAATAGATGATTTTAAAATATTAATATTATGTATGATTAAGTTAGGAAAAAGAATAGATGGTTTTGTGTCAGAATCAAGTATTTTGGCTTGTTTCTCATGAGTTTCTCATGAATCACATCCTGCACTGACAGATTCTCCCCAGTTGTCTAACTCCTGACGATGTCCAGTTGTTAAAGATCAATAACGTGCAGTTTTCGTCTCTCTCTGTGTCTCAGGTGTCTGTAGTGATCTGCACGGCGTTCATCCTGGCCTGGTCTCCGTACGCGGTCGTGTCCATGTGGTCAGCGTGGGGTTTCCACGTGCCGAGTCTCACCAGCATCTTCACGCGGCTCTTCGCCAAATCTGCCAGCTTCTACAACCCTCTCATCTACTTCGGCCTGAGCTCCAAGTTCCGGCGAGACGTGAGCGTGCTGCTGCCCTGCGGCGGCGAGGCCAAAGACGCCGTCAAGCTCAAGCGCTTCAAAGAGGTCAAGGGGAAGGCAGACGGCGCGGGGCTCCAGAGATTCAGAGCCGACGCCGAAGAGAACCGCGACTTACACAAGAACGAGAACAAATACCATCCGGCAAACCCCGCCCCCAGCCCTGACTCAGGGGTGGGCAGTCACCAGGAGACTCCGCCCCCTGCAGGTAAACAGGTGTTCTTCATCGACGCGCCCGAGCCGTCAGACACACCTGAGTCCGAATGCATCAGACTCTAGATCATCTGCGCTTACGAGTTTGATTTTATATTTCAGCTACTTTACGAAATTTCATGATAACCATAAAAAGCGTGAAAAGCTATTTTTATAAACGATGGATGTAAATGTGAACTGTGTTTTTTTTAATAAGTGTGTACATCAGCATTAATAAAGATAGTTTTGTGTTTATATGCAGTTCATCAGCATTTTTTTCCTAGAGATTTGATTGTGGTTAAGTGTTCCCTTTCGTCGCTACGACGGATTTCTGTCAGTTCATAAAGAGTCACTTGCTTCATTCATGAATGAATCAGCCGTTCGAACGAATCAATTGAATGAATGAATCAGTGATAAAATCAGTGACATGCTGCCACCTGCTGGTGGATTTAGTTTCATTTTTCAGTCAGGAGCGCTTGTCCTCTTAATTAAAAAATTTAGGTGCATCTTCTGATCAATAATCAAAAATTATGATAAAAAATTATCCTTCCTAATATGAGGTGACATTTGACTCCTTAAAGTGACGTACAGGGCAGTTTATAAGCTTTTTAAAATTTATATTTAAAACATATGTAGAATAACACAAATAAGTTACCAATCATATAAAATTAGTATTAATAAATTAATGTGTACTACAGAGGTGGCACAGAAGAACAAAAAGTGGCTTGTAGGTACATTTCCAGACGTTTAATGAGGCTCAGAGGTCGCATGAGTGCAATTAAATTCATACATTCATGTGGAGATTAATGTTTTTAAATATAACATTTTGAATACAGAAATATTAAATGATTTAAATAACTGAAATTATACGCTAGAAACTAAATCCACCAGCAGAAGGCGGCAAGTCACTGATTTTATCACTGATTCATTCATTCAATTGATTCGTTCGAATGACTGATTCATTCAGGAACGAAGCAAGTGACTCTTTATGAACTGACGGAAATCCATCGTAGCGACGGAACACTTTAATCCCTGGAGTTAACATTAATTTCAACATTTACTAAATCAAAAGTTGTATCTGTAAACATTAGTTTAAAAGTATGGGATTTAAAAAAGTTATCTAAAATAATAATAAAGACAGTTTTGTGTATATTTGTAGTGCATCACATTTTTTTCTGAGTAAAAACATTCGGTAACACTTAACGCCTTTATGCATAATGCGTTATAAAGGTATTCATAATGTATGTTTTAATGCATTGTAACGAATTAAGTTGAAATGCATTTTTTAAGGATTTGTAAATAAATTATAAAAAAATGAAGTTCTTTATCTATACTGGCCAGCCCTGGTGCCTACATATTAATTTATTTACATAATTATTCGTTTAAGGCTTTTGATAATATTCATGTATCATGATGCTTATTCATTTGCTCTGAAATAAAAATTTTTTTTTCATGAACATAAAATTCAGTTGATGATTTGACTGTGACCTAACATGAACCGCTGTGAAAATGCTATGACAAATATATTGCTCATTACTAGATGACGTTAATTAAAGTGATATTGCTTTATCGAATCTCAGTTTTTTGATTTGTTGGTCATTTTGTCTAATGTGGCTTTTACAAGGTTCTGTTATTTGATGTTTTTAAAAATAAATTTTTCTTTCTATTCCTGCAGCTTTAGTGTCTAGTCAGTGATTTAATGTTGAAATTGAGTGCAACACGTTTGTTATTAAATAGAAACACTGTCTGGCTTCTGGGGTGTATTCCAGAAAGGAGGTTCAACAAACTCTGAGTTAAAACTTGAACTCTGAGCTGAACAGTTAGTTCAATCCACTCGGAGTAAGTTGACTGAGAAGACTCACTCACTCACTCACGCACTCACGCACGCACGCACACACACACACATACACACACACACACACTCTCTCTCTCTCTCTCTCAAACTGTGTAATTGCAACAAAAAACTCAAGCCAGACGTGCATAAAAACACCTTTTACCAACCAAATGCATGTTTTATCGAGAGAATAGTATATTAAATATAATTAACCAATCATCTAATACCATTAGATAAGAAGTGTCTGTATAATACGTGTTCTTTTATTCATTTGTAGGGCTTGTTTTGTTTGTTGAGCTCAACGGGCCAATAAGAAACTAATTACTACTATTCCTTTTAATTACACATCTCTTTAAAATGTCTATAAATGTATAAAAATGATCCGAAATCAAGTAAAAAAAAAAAAAAATCGTTAAAAATGTCAGTTTTTTTTTCAAACAGTGAAATCACGTGAGTCAAATTAATCGTGAAGGATTCGAAGCTTCACGAAGCAGTGCTTCTGCTAGTACGGACTGTAATTTCATCTTTGTCTAATAAATAGATCAATCAATTTCAACACTATAAATCATCAAATTAATATACAGCATCACAAATCATAGTATAGATTAAAAACTCACTTATTAAAGCATTAAAATCATTTACACGCATTTTACACTCACAAATGTGCATGAAGAAAAATATATATTATATGCAGTATCTACGGAAAAACTCTCAAACACAAGTGAAATACAACATATTCTTTTATTATTGTATTATATTGATAAATGTCCATCTGAGCCGAAAAAAGAGAATACAACAAGAAATCAAGAATAAACTGTAATATCAATAATAAAATATGTACAAGAGGAGTATAGCATTTATTAACACGATCTTTCCAAACTCTCTCTATACAACCAAAGGGTTAAAAGTTCGTCCCGTTGTGACGTCACCGTCCGCTCGTCCAATCACATCGCATCAACATTCCCTTTCGAATACTCTGATCGATTGATGTGCTTACCGCAAACATCAGTGACCAAATAATCAAACCGCGTTGATCAATAGCACTTTAGTATCTTCAGTAGCCGAGTCAGCTGCACAGCTCCCATCTCTGACCAGCAGGTGGCGCAAACTAAACTCTCCCGCACGACTAGTTAATCTTCACGGTTAGCTTCGCAGGTTAATATACACTGTATTCTGGTTCATAAATAGATTGTTGGTCTATACATATTGAGATTCGTTCTTATATATCTAAAATTAATACGCACCAAAATGAACGAAATCAGAAAATATATTTACTAGTACGAAAACACGGTCGCACGCAGTTCCCTAGCAACGTCCCAAACCAGCGCCCTGTGCACGAGCTTAACGTCAAGCGCGCCTCGGATTTAAAGGAATAGAACGCAAAAATGAAATAAAGTAAAATAGAATAAAATATTTAATCACCCTCATGTCGATCAAATCCTGTTTTTTCCCCTCATGAGACACTGCAGTAAATGTAAAAGAGCAGCTCAGACATTCACTGCTGTGTTTTACAGAGAAAGTCACATGGATTTGTATGGAAGGCCGTTTTCGCAATGGCATATATATATATATAATAAAAAGCTAATTGCAACTTTCTATCTCACAATTCAAATATAAACTCGGATTTCTGAGAAAAAAGTAATTGTGCGATATAAAAGACGTAAACTCACAATTCTGATTTTTTTTCCTCAGAATTGCGAGTTTTGTTGCAAGTTGCAATTCTGAGTTTAATATATACTCTTAATATAGAAAACTAAGAATTGCGGGATATAAATTTGCAATTTTCCACACAATTCTAAGTTTACATCATGCAATTCGGAATATATTTTTTTTGGCCACAGAATAAAAAAAATATAAAAAGGTAATTGCGAATTTTTATCTCGCAATTCGGATATAAACTTCCATGTCTGAGAACAAAAAAAGTCAGAACTAAAGATATAAACTCCGAATTGCAAGAAATAAACAAAAAAATAAAATCTCAATTTTTTCCGTGCATTCTGATGGGCGAAAGGTTTATCTCACAATTTGGACATTCAGAATTTTGAGAAAAAAAGTCAAAATTGTGAGATAAAAATTCACACAAAAAAAAATGCGAGATGTAAACACAAAATTGTGAGAAAAAGTCTGAATTGTGAGATAAAAAGTCGTAATAACTTAAAAAAAAAAAAAAATTGTGGCAGAAAAAAAAACTTGCAATTACTTTATTTCTTTATCCTGCGTCACAAACAAGCTTCCATAGGTTTACGTGGCATGAGGGTGAGTAAACAGTGCCAGATTTCATGTTCGTCTAAACTAGTCCTTTATCATCATTTGGTAGAGAAGCAAACTCACGTCACTTTTCACAGACCTGAAGGAAACGCACAAACACTCCGCTCGTCTTCTAGTGCTCATGTCATCAGTTAAAGGCAAACGATTCCCCATAAAGCAGAAAATCTCTATCCTAGCAGTTAAAAACACACACGCACTTCCAGATAGTTCAAGTAATCACAGACAAATTCAAATAAACCAGAAGAGTTTCAAATAAAAAACCTCAACCTGCAGGAAACTCGGGTTACGGTCTGTTTGCAACCTCGGTCACCCGTCACACAATGATAAAAAACACTAGTATCCGCTTCAAATTATTACATATAAAATAGATTTCAAATCTAATTCACAAACCACCACCACCTGCGCAGGTAGAGAAGGTGAGGATGACGTCAGAGGAACCAGATGAAGGTGTTTATGTACGTAACGTAGCCGCTCGTCCCTTCCTGAAGCTAAATCCTACTGCATTTGGCATTACAGGCAAAACAAGTAAAAAAAAATTTTTAAAAAGGCAAAAAATAAATAAACATTACAACAGATTTCAGACAAATATAGACTTCCGAGTACAGCTTGTCAAAAACTGCAACACATTCAAACTATTATAAGACTTTTGCGCATTATCACTTTGACTAAGTTCAACGAATATTCAGAAACGGCTCTAAATCTAGTCAAATGATCGAGATTTTGTCTCAACATCACGATGTTGAGATGATTTCACAGAACAGGCGAGTTCGACTGCAAACCCTCAGGAGAAACTGCAGGTTTATGCGTAAAATAACAGCTTAGATATTAAACGTAGCACTGAATCGAGACGTGCGTCCTGATGGTGAACGGCTTTGGAGTGTTTAGAGGATTTATATTTGGACACAAACATGTAGAAATTTAGTACGTTTTCTGAGTTATGTAATATTATGTACAATTCTATTTAATTGTTGACAGGATCGTCCGTCAGACAAGAGAAGCATTACATTTGAGTCTTTTAATTCAATGCATTTCATCTGCATCCGAACAGGATTTTGACCCTGCGTGAGAAACTTAACCGAACTTTACTTTCCGTCCGAATAATTTGATGCATTTGGTGAGTTTAAAACATCGACGGGGTTCGTTTTCCCTCAAAGAGGATCCGCGTTTTGAAGCAAAAGGCACGTCGTTAAAAAGAAGCGAACGCAAGACGGGAAATTTCGAGAGGCGGAGGAGAAGAGGAACTCAAGGAGAACTAGAACTACAGAAGTGTGGGAAGCACCCAACTTCCTGTGAGGCTGAACGGAGATGTTTGGAGCGTCCTCTGGCGTTCCTCCGTGTTTGTTGACTTCCCCTCGAGCACCCAGGCCTGCCCGGATCATCTCGGTCTCGGCACTCCCGTCCCGTTCGAGTTTGACCACGCACGAGTTTGTGGAAGCAGTTTTTGGTCGGAGATCGAAGGTCATACGAAGACTTTGGCGAGGGCGTCGGCTCCCGCGCTGCCTATGTAGCACTTGGTGGGGTGGAACGCCACATCGTTGATGGACTCGTCGAACTTCTTCCTGTGAGCCGTGAACTCCTGGATGCACGTCTTGCTCTCCATGTTCCACAGACGCACCGAGCAGTCATGACCTGAGACACATCAGCTTATTGAACAGACATTTCGAAAAAGTTGCTTTACAAAGAAAACATTTAATAAATAACTATAATAAATGGGTTTTAATGTTTTTTACATGAATATTGAAATATGAACCACCAGTAGGTGGCGTGAAGTCACTGTGTTAATGAGTGATTCATTCAACTGATTTGTTCAGATGGTTGATTCATTCAGAAATTAAGAAAGTGACTGCATTTATGAGTCATTGAATTATTGACTCACTCGATTCGTTTAAATGGCTGATTTATTCAGAAATGAAGCAAGTGACCATCTTGATGAATGAGTCACTGAATCACTAACTCACCCAATTTGTTCAAATACGTGGATTAATTCAGAAATGAAGAAAGTGACGGTCTTTATGAACGAGTCATTCAATCACCGACTCACTCGATTTGTTCAAATATGTGGATTAATTCAAAAATGAAGCAAGTGACTGTCTTTATGAATCGGTAACTGAATCAATTCATTCAAACAGCTGATTCATAAGCCAGTGACTGTCCTTACGAATGAGTCATTGAATCACTGACTCACCCAATTTGTTCAAAAACGTGGATTCATTCAGAAACTAAGCAAGTGACTGCATTTATGAATGAGTCGGTGAATCACAGACTCACTCGATTTGTTCAAATATGTGGATTCATTAAAAAAAAAACTCACTCGATTCGTTCAAATGGCTGATTTATTCAGAACTGAAGCAAGTGACCGTCTTGATGAATGAGTCACTGAATCATTGACTCACTCAATTTGTTCAAACAGCTGATTCATAAGCCAGTGACTGCATTTATGAATCAGTAACTGAATCACTGGCTCACTCGATTTGTTCAAAAACATTTACAAGTGTTTGCATGACTTTGTTCAGCATCAGACTGTAGAGTAAAGCTGATGTTCTCGAGTACTTACTACCAGACATCAGATAGAGACCATTGGGATCCACTGCAAGACTGGTGACAGCATCCAGATGAGCGACCATAGAGTGAATCAACTTGCCTGAGAAGAAACATCAATATATATGAATACAAACATAACAAAATAACATAAAAATCTAAATAATAAAAATAACAACAATAACTTTTCTAAGAAAAAAAACATACACAGAATGAAGGAATATATACAGATGATATATTTAATAATAATTTCTAAAGTTTTTTTTTTTATTTCTTTTTTTAAAGAATGCATCTCAGTTTCCACAAAAATATTGTGCAGCACGACTGTTTTCAACATTGATAATAATCAGAAATGTTTCTCGAGCAGCAGATCAGAATATTATACTGATTTCTGAAGATCATGTGACACTGAAGACTGGAGGAATGATGCTGAAAATACAGCTGCACATCACAGAAATACATTACAGTTTAACAGAGAATTACATAGAAAATTTATATTTTAAATTCTAAAAATATTTCACAATTTTTACAGTATTTTTGATCAAATAAATACAGCCTTGCAGAGTAGAAAAGACTGAAAGAAGCGACATTAAAAATCTTACCATGTATAAGTGTGTATATATATATATATACATACATATAAAATGCACATATGTGTCTCTGCAGCACAGAAGCAGTGTTAAGTCGCTGGGGGATATTTGTAGCAATAGCCAACAATACATTGTATGGGTCACAATTATACATTTCTCTTTTATGCCAAAAATCATTAGGATATTAAGTAAAGATCATGTTTCATGAAGATATTTTGTAAATTTCCTACCGTAAATATATCAAAACTTAATGTTTGATTAGTAATATGCATTGCTAAGAACTTCATTTGGACAACTTTAAAGATGATTTTCTCAATATTTAGATTTTTTTGCACCCTCAGATTCCAGATTTTCAAATATTGTCCGATCCTAACAAACCATACATCAATGGAGAGCTTATTTATTCAGCCTTCAGATGATGTATACATCTCAATTTAAAAAAAATTTACCCTTATGACTGGTTTTGTTGTCCATGGTCACATATATATATTAAATGACTAATAGTAATCAACATAAAAACCAAAACAACATCAATAATCAAAGTACTGATTGAAATACTAATAATAAACAGTCTCGAGTTGAGTTGAATATTAATATCTGTCGGTCACCTGTGTTGTTGTCGAAGAATCGGATGTGTCGGTCCTCTTGTGCTGTGATGGTGATGGGAAGCGTCGGGTGACTGAGCACTTTATTAATCTGACACGGCGCATCTGAACATCAAACACATCAACGTCAGAGAGCATCATGGGACTTTTCCATTCACTCATGACTAAACTATTATGATTCCATTCATTGAGATTTCTAGAAAGGTCTTCTTCACGTCAAGCACCAATAAACTAAAAGAGATGATGTTAAAGGAACACTCCACTATTTTTGAAAACAGGCTCATTTTCCAGCTCCCCTAGAGTTAAATAGTAGAGTTTTACCGTTTTCGAATCCGTTCAGCTGATCTCCGGGTCTGGCGGTAGCACTTTTAGCTTAGCTTAGCATAGATAATTGAATCTGATTAGACCGTTAGCATCTCGCTCAAAAATGACCAAAGAGTTTCTATATTTTTCCTATTTAGAACTTGACTCTTCTGTAGTTACATCGTGTACTAAGACCGACGGAAAATGAAAAGTTGTGATTTTCTAGGCCGATATGGCTAGGAACTATACTCTCAATCCGGCGTAATAATCGAGGAGCTTTGCTGTCGTACCATGTGTGCAGCAGGTACACCTAGCCATATCGAAAATCACAACTTTTCATTTTCCGTCGGTCTTAGTACACGATGTAATTACAGAAGAGTCAAGTTCTAAATAGGAAAAATATAGAAACTCTTTGATCGATTTTGATCTAATCAGATTCAATGAACTATGCTAAGCTACAGCTAAAAGTGCTATCGCCAGACCCGGAGATCGGCTGAACGGATTCGAAAACGGTAAAACTCAACTCTAGGGGAGCTGGAAAATGAACCTATTTTCAAAAATAGTGGAGTGTTCCTTTAAGGACTCAGCAGCACGTGACTGATCTCATCGAGTCCTGTGGCTAAAATCACAGAAAGTGTGTGTGAAGTACCAGGTTTTCCGGCGGCTTGCGACTCGAGCTCCAGCACCAGCTGTCGGGTCTCCATGTTGAAGATGCCCAACCTGCCGTTAGTGAAGGCCGTGACCATGTGAGCCGGATCACTGCAGACCAGATCCACCGACGACGGGACGCCCAGCTCTGAAGCGCACAGAAAACAACAGAAGGAGCTCAATCATGTGTTTGTGCTTTTCACAGCTGAAATCATCACGAACCACCGACAAAACCAACCAAACAATTCATAAACTCAACTCAACTAAAGCAAAAATTTTTTTTAAACTGATGATTTTTAAACTGGTCTTTTTTTTTTGTAAGAATATTATTTTGGGGTTTGTTCATCAAAAAACTCAAAATCTAAAATTCATCAAAAAAACAACAACAACAAAAAGATAATTAATTCATTTATTAAATAAATAAATAAATAAATAAAAAATGTTGGGTAAAATATTTGTAACTAGTAAAATATTAATAACTAACAGAGTTAAAAATGCAAAAAAGCATGCACAGCTCCTAAAAAAACATGCCTGTAGGTGTTCGTCCCCCAAAAAAAAATTATAAAAAAGGTCAGTAAAACATTATTAATGTTTCAATTAATTAATTGAATTGTTTGCAGCTGTAGTGCGCCAACTTTTAAAAAAGATCACTCTTTATTTTATTTTTTAATGCTAAAAAAAAAAAATATATATATATATATTTTTTTTGTAAATTATGTGTTGTAAATTATACTTAAATTTTTTAAGACTGTCATTTTGGGGTCCATTTTAAAGGGGACCTATTATGCAAAATTAATGTGAATAATTACTGTATTAATAAGGAACCAGAGCTATGTTGTTATTTTTATTCTTAACCCGAAAACGCTCACCCTGTGTATAATTCATAAACGCACCTTTATTGCTTCTTGTCTCTGTGAATACAGTCAGAGACAATGGCATAACAGGTGCTGAAATCATCTAACCATCAATATATTAAAATATTGCTAAAATATTAAATAAAATATTTTTGGTAAACTGCTGTGTGGTCTCATTTTTTAATTCTTTAAGACTGTTAAATTGGGGTCCATTTCAAAGCTAAAATAAAAAATAAAACACATTTTTGTAAACTGATGTGTGGTAAACAAACAAAAGCAACTGATGTGTGTTTGGGTGCAGTACCTTTGTCCTGGTTGAAGACGGCGATGGCGGGCGTGATATCCGCTGCGCTCCAGAGCCTCACCGTCCCGTCTGCGGAGCACGACAGCAGTCTGTGATGAGCCGAGCTGTACACCAAACCCCAGACTGCATCTGTGTGTCCAGACAGCGCCCCCCGCAGCACCGACGGCTCTACAGCAAACACAGACACACTCGATCACACACACACTCTCACTGAGACTCACTGGCGTCTGCAGGGGACAGGGACGCACCGTACGAGTCATACGGGTCGATGTTGGGGCTCGGTGTGTTCCAGCACTGAATGCTCGCGTCCAAACCGCCGCTGAAACACTGCTCACCGCTGGAGCTCATCACCACACACAGAACCGGACCCCTGAGACCAGACATACACCACATCAGACAGCTGCTGGTTTATCCTGGTAATAAGATCTAGACCTGATTCACACGCACCTGTGAGCCCTGAAGGTGTAGATGGGCTCCACATCCAGAGCGGCGCACCTGAAACAACAACACCACGTTACACTGACCGACACCAGCAAAACACAGGGCTATTATCTATTATCTGTATCTATCTGTATTTCTGTATTTATGTTCTACTGTAGTGTTATCTGTATGCACCAAGGGTCTGAGAGTAACGCAATTTCAATTCTCTGTGTGTATGTGCTGTACATGTGGAAGAATTGACAATAAAGCAGACTTGACTTCACAACTACGACATTTCTGAAATAAAGATGAAAGGAAAAAGTCTCTATTTTTCATTTAGTTTAAGTTGAGGCACCACATTTACTAACTTAATAATGGAACTGAAATAAAAACAAATGAAACATATATAGTACTATTAGAATAAATACATAAATTGAAATATTAATATAAAAAAATTTATATAAAAAAAAAAAAGGAAAAAGCTGAATTGAAAACGCTAAATTTAAGCACTAAAAGTTCTAACTGGAAATAAAATAAATAAAAACTAATGAAATAAAAACAAACTAAACTGGAATAGTAATATTTAAAAAAACTGAAATAACAATAAACTAAACCTGAATATTAATATATAAAAAACGAATAAAAAAAAAAACACTGATAAAAAGCTAAAAAAAAAATAAAAATAAAATGATAAAAAAGAACCTAAATAGTCATATAAAAAAAAAACTGAAGTAAAAATAGTAATATTTAAACTGAATTTGAACTAAATTAAACCGAAATAGTAATAATAAAAAAATAAAACACTGAAATAAAATAAATTAAACCTAAATAGTAATATAAAAAAACTAATGAAAATCTGAAATAAAACTGAAATAAAAACAAATTACACCTAAACTGTAGTATACAAAAAAGAAATAAAACTGAAATAAAAAACAAATTAAACATAAATGTAAAAAAAACAAACAAACAAAAACTAATAAACCAAACTAAAATAAAACCGAAATAAAACAAATTAGAACTAATAAAAAAAACTGATATACTGTAAATATTAATGTTTAACTTTTAATTTATTAAAAATAAAACTGACAAAAGCACATAAAATTACAAAAAAAAAAAAAAAACTAAATTAAATAAAAATCTAGTTTACAATATGAATCAAACCCCTGAATGAGGACCAGGGTAATGAGACTCTCACTTCTTGGTCGGGGCGGTTTTCTGCAGGTTCCACAGTTTGAGCGTGTGATCTTCAGACGCGGTGATCAGAACCGGCTCGACGGGGTGAAACGCAAAACGCAAGGCCGCGGATCGAATCGAAGTGGTTTCTGAGCGTGAACTTGGGGTTCCACGTCTTCCGCAGGGCGTCTTTATTATTAGTGATCTGAGAAACATTCACAAATACAGCACATTTCCACTGATGAAGGAACTGACATTTCTGTATCAAATACTATATATATATATATATATCAGCATACTACAGCTGCAAACATAAATTCACTTAATTAAAATATTAATGTTTTGCTTAAATAGTTTTGGGCGAGCACCACGGTTATTATAGTTAACTAAAACCATAAAACATACTTGAAAATAAAATAAACATGAAATAAAAGATCATCTAAACGGCTTCATTATGATTAATTATAAACATGATCAATCTGGTAAAAGTTTTACATTTTTAACAAACTAACAATCATCCTATAAACCCATTATAATAAACGTTTCATCTTAGTTTTGTCTTTACTTATGAGAAATAAAATAAAAACAAAATAGCAAGAGAACTAAAATTAAGAAAATGATAATATTTTATTTTTACATTTCCGTTTTCATTTTTACTAATTTTGTTGTTAGTTTTTTGTTTTTATATTTTATATAATATATATTTTTAAATATATAGTTTTTACGTTTTAAGTACTTCAACAAAAATAAGAGATCTTGCCTTTGCAACAAGCTGAAATAAGTTTACTTTTTAAATTAAATCTTTAACTAAATTTATGTATTTATTTAAACTTTTAAATTAAAATGAAAGTGGAAATTATAAAAATAAAAACTGATATGCATCATGATATTTACATATATTATAATATACAATATGTGTCCCTGCACCACAAAAGCAGTGTTGAGTCGCTGGGGGATATTTGTAGCAATAGCCAACAATACATTGTATGGGTCACAATTATACATTTCTCTTTTATGCCAAAAATCATTAGGATATTAAGTAAAGATCATGTTCCATGAAGATATTTTGTAAATCTCCTACCGTAAATATATCAAAACTTAATGTTTGATTAGTAATATGCATTGCTAAGAACTTCATTTGGACAACTTTAAAGATGATTTTCTCAATATTTAGATTTTTTTGCACCCTCAGATTCCAGATTTTCAAATAGTTGTATCTCAGCCAAATATTGTCC